AAATGAATTTTTATTAACATTGAGAGTTGTTTTAAGTTGGAATGCACAGCCACACAGTTTTAGAAAGAATGCTTTTTTAGCGATTTTTTTAAAGGATGGATTCTCAGTTTTTTAAGTTATTTTCATTCCTACCTGACAATTTCTCAGTATTCCATCATTAAAGATCAAGCAATCAATAACTTAACAAGTATTTCTTCAGTAACTATTACATTGCCATGATTTGCCAAGGTATTGTGTAGCGATACAAAAGAAGACTGGTATTATAATCTTACTTACAGATGGGGGAAAAAAAAGATAAGCAGGAAATAATCAGAAAGCTTGACAATGATTATCTAGGTAATGAGATAAGAAGTGATCGCTATTTGCTAATTTAATGTATTTTTTAACTTGTCCACTTACAGGCATGTCTTATTTTTTAATACCACAGAAGACATATAAGATATTTTTTCTGTCTTCAAAGAGCGTATCTTATATCTGGAGAGGGGAAAAAGTAACATACAGGAAACAGAGAACAATTGAATATGACATTATATGGTTACTGAAAAAGAAGCCCAATCAGTTGTTCAGAAAAGGTGAGAGAAAGTTGAAGTTCTTTTTGTGTATAAAAATGGCAGAAATTTAGCGTCTATTGTCTTGAGAAAGTTAGCAAGTAAAAGGAAAATAAAAGCTCAGGATTAGAGTTGATTTTCCCAGCCAAAAATGACCACTCTCCCAAGGGAGCTGATTTTTCAGAGTATCTACTGATCATCAACACCAGCCTAAAACATGAACAATGTTTCTGTTTGAAATATAGACAACAGTAGTTTCCAAATGCTGCCTCCAAACAGAAGTGACTCCATTCACTTCTACCGAAAAAAATAATGAATAGGCTACACACATTACAATTCAAAGGTAGACGATGATAAACATCGGAATCTAGGTTGCTTTTGAAAACAGATTTTTGGGGCATTGTTGGCACATTTCCATTAGTTTGTAGTTCTTCTATTAGGCAACTTTTAAGTTGTCCGCAAAGAAGGAAGTAAAAATTTATACCACAAATCTGCCCTCTAGACCAGAGAAGAGTAAAAAAAAAAAAAAAAAAAAAGGAAAAAAAGGCCCCCCCCCCGAAAAAAATGCTGTTAATTGAACTCTAGCATACCATCAGTTGGAAGATGAGTCCTGATAACATGTGGAAAATGTGCATTTTAGAATCAGTGAAATAGTGTATACATTTTGTGACCATATGATATCTGCTGCATGCCACAGATAGGAGACCTGTGTCCATGCTTCTTTATCATTATGGCCATGGCCCGCACTAATAAATGCTGAATAAATCCTTGAATGAATGCATGTGTAGATTCAATAATGGGGTTTGTCTTACACTCCAAATGCCTAAATGATAAATAAGAAATGCATTAAATTTTTTTTTGATGTTTATTTAGTTTTGAGAGAGAGAGAGAGTGAGAGAGAGAGAGAGAGAGAGAGAGAGAGAGAGAGAGAGTGAGCAGGGGAGGGGCAGAGAGAGGAATCTGAAGCAGGCTCCAGGCTATGAGCTGACAGCACAGAGCCCAACGCAGGGTTCGAACTCATGAACTGCAAGATCGTGACCTGAGCCGCAGTCGGCCGCTCGACCGACTGAGCCACCCAGGCACTCTGAAATGCGTTTTAAATCAGCATTAATGGCTAAATAAGTGCTGGAAAGTAACAATAACATTGACATTTATTTTGAAGTGACACATTATCTCTTTGGAAAGAAGTTCTAGAAATGATTAAATTCTGATAAATAAGAACCACCCACCTCTATGTGAACCAGGTGAAACTTGATTTGTAAAGCCTACATGAGTAATTTGAGGTGCTTAATGTAACAAGTAAATTGGACAGGGAGAGCAAGCTGTTATCACATCCTACTCTTCTCTGTTTTTAAAAGACAGCCAAATTCAGTCCTATGAGAAATGCAATTCTCTACTTTTATAGAAATCTGTAAAGGAGAGGCTATTCTGTCCATGCACCATTTGTTTCTTCCTTAGAAAAGGGATTTAACAGAAGAAAGTAATATCTTTATCCAGGTATATGCAGCACTTATTATGGTGTGATGATTATGTTTAATTTATTTTTGTTTTGTTTTTTATTTAATAATTTTTGTTTTGTTTTTTATTTATTTATAGGGGGAGGGTGGTGTAGAGGGACAGAGACAATCTTAAGCAGGCTCCACACCCAGTGCAGAGCCTGACACGGGGCTCTTGATCTCATGACCCTGGCATCATGACCTGAGCCCAAATCAAGAGTCAGACGCTTAACCTACTGAACCACCCAGGCGCCCCTGTGTGATTATTAAACCAAATTCTTACATAGAAAGATGCAGTTCAAAGAATAAATCTCTTCTCTAAAGAAGGTTACTAAACCCTTGTCTTTAGTGTTACTTGATAGTCTATTTTCTCCTCTGTCCTTCTGAAACCTCTACCCCACTTTGTTGTTCCTTTGAATCACTACCACCACTGCCAAAACCACCACTAAGCTCTGATGCAAGTGGTCCACAGAGCTGACTGTCCCAGACTAAAAGTGTTCAAAATAGCAAGTAACTGGGAGCAGAAATTCTGGGATGCGATATGGGCTATATTTACATTTGTGTAAAATCTCCAAATTAATTCAATTAAGAATTGTGAGTCATCTAGGTGAGTTACTGTGGAAACAATGATATGAGTTGATGCTTTGAAATTCTAGGCACCCTAGAAGATATTGGTGACATAGACTTAAGTCTTTAAAGAAGTTGTAGACCAGGGACACCAGAGTGTTTCAGTGGGTTAAGCGTCTGACTTCGGTTCAGCTCATGATCTCACAGTTCATGGGTTCAAACCCGCATCCAGCTCTGTGCTGACAGCTCAGAGCCTGGAGCCTTCTTTGGATTCTGTGTCTCCCTTGCTCTCTGCCCCTTCCCTGCTCACACTCTCTCTCTCTCTCCCTCAAAATAAATAAACATTAAAAATAAATAAATAAATAAAAGAAATGTGTTTGGGTTCTAAGTATATCTGTTTAGAAAACATTATAAAAGGTAATAATGGTTGAGGGAGGCATAGTGCTTGCCTTCAAGAAGTTTTGGCCTGAAAAAAAAAAAAAGTTTTGGTCTAGTGAGGGAGATAAGACTTGTATGAAAACAGAATTATGATACTATACTAAGGTAGATAGTGAAAGGCATCTTAAGAGAAAATCAGATAAGGGGCCAAGAGAATTCAGAAAAGGGACTGGATTAATTCTGACTGAAAGCATCAAGGAATGTTCATGCAGAAGACAGTGTTTTACCTGGTGCTTAAAGCTATGTGTGAGGGTGTATAGAATGGAAACAGTCAGAATCTACTTGAAGATAAATACTTGCTTCTGTGTCAGTGTAGTTGAGTTACACATCCAATAATATGTTACTTACAGAAAATGCCTGCGCACTCTCTCTCTGTATATAACACGTATATACATATATATGGAGAGAGATTTTTAGTACATGTTTAGTATGTGTGGCAAGTTATTAATAGATGTATATTTTGAATATCATACAGAACCTAAGAGGGACAGCAAACCCTATCATAGGATGTTTAATAGCATCCCTGGCCTCCATCCACTAGATCTCAGTAGCATACCCCCAGGCGTGACAACAAAAATGTCTCCAGACATTGCCAAATGTTCCCTGAGGGGTAAAATAGCCCTTAGTTAAGAACCACTGTTATATACAGTTGATCCTTGAACAACATGAGTGTTAAGGGTTTCCAGCCGCGTGGAATCAAAAATCCTCCAGTAACTTTTGATTTCTCAGAAACCTAACTGCGACCAGCCTACTCCTGATTGGAAGCCTTACCTACGGGCAACGTGAATGTCTATGGACACATATTTTGTGTGATTTATGTAGTATATACTGCATTCTTACAATAAAGTAAGGTAGAGAAAAGAAAATGTTATTAGGAAAATCATAAAGAAGAGATAACACATTTACAGTACAGTACTGTACTTACGAGGAAAAAATCCACTTATAGGTAGGTGGTCCTGTGCAGTTCAAACCTCTGTTGTTCAAGGATCAACTAAGCAAAACCTCCCTTGCGAATGGATAGAATTCTCAAGTTCACGACCTGGATTTTTATTTTTGGTTCCCTTCTGCAATGGTTCTTACCTTTATTTTATTTTATTTTAAGTAATTTAAGTAATCTTAAGGAATTAAGTAATCTTAAATAAATCTTATTTATTTTTGGTAATCTCTACACCCAGGGTGGGACTTGAACTCAGGACCCTGAGATTCAGAGCTGCATGTTCTTCTGACTGAGCCAGCCAGGTGTCCTTTAACCTTATTTAAGGGTCAAGTAAGTTTCTGAAATCTGTTGAAAGCTGTTGACTCATTCATTTATTAGGAAAAATGCACATGCTCAGACCTCGTAGGATACAATTACAGGGAATTTACACTAGGGTTCTCCCAAGAGGAGTTCTGTTTCCTGGAGCTTAAAGAACTGTCATGGTCTGTATGTTCCAGCTAGGTAGGTAACTGCAGGCTGGTGTCCAGAAGGTCCATCGTTTTGGAGTCTCTTCTGCATTTACTCCAGAATACTGATGATAGGGCGAGAATCCACCTGTTTGCTAAACTCTCTCATCTTTCATCTACACCTGCATTAGTCAGTTTTAGCAAGATTCATTCCAGCAGAAGACAGAAGCCTGCTGAGGTAGGGTAGATCCTATTCCCCTCACTTCTTTCTAGTCTCCATTCCTGTCTAGTCCAGCTGATTCCTTCCCTGATTGCCCAGATGACTGAGAAGAAAGATAGAACCGAACAGTTGACAGGGTAAGAAAGTGAGCCACTTGGGCACCTGATTTTGATTGTGAAATGTAACACACACGGGCACACACAGAGAGAAAAGAGTGTACACAATGTATCTAAAATGTATGATTAAGTTGTGAACCCTCTACAACCATCAGCCACTCACTACTTCTGAAGAAACACTTTCTAGAAATACAGAGCATTTATTAAATACAAAACTGGCCACTGCTCCTTTCCTCCTCTCCACCCCAGGGCAGTAGGAGAGCTGTGTGCCAGACTGTGGTGCTTCTTGATTCACACAAGGTAGGAGCCAAGGTCAAGGCTCCCAGCAGTCCTGTTTTCCACCCAGGGCTCTGCTCTCCTGTAACAAGTTTCCCTATCCCCCCCTGACCTCGCAGCCCGCGTTAGTAATTGGGAGGTGAGTGAGGATCCTGGTGACAACCAGTAAGATTCTTGGCCTCCCACTTCGGGAAAGGGAAAGAACAGGGCAGGAGGAGTAGCATTTCTTTCCCGGTAGGATAGATAGGTGGGGAAAGACCGCTGCCTTTGTGTTCCTCTTTTCGACTAAGGTGTCTCTGTTGCTCCATAAATAAAAAACGTCTCCCTGCCTTCTGTGAGCGCTATAAAGGCACCCGAGCGGCCGTCCCGGGGGCATTGCGGGCGGGGCACCAGCCGAAACAGGTGAGCTGGCCTGACTCGGCTCTGGCTCCACTCCCGGGAGGCAGCGCTAGCTGCGGAAGGGACTAGCGTGGGGGCACGGAGCAGGCGGGCAGGGGGCAGTACAGCCTTCTTTCTGAGAAGCTGAGAGCGAGAAGGGAGCTAGGAAAACAGGCAAGAGGTCTGCCCCACCTCCCTAAAGTTCTGCCCCCGGGAGAACGGCGACCCGCTGCTGGAATTTGCCTGCAGTGCACGCAGCCTCGGGACCCGGGGAACGTGGCCTAGGGTTTCCACGCCCGGCCCGGGGGCCAGTGCTTCTCTCCAGGTGCGCGCCTGGGGACGTGCCCTGGGTCGGGTGCGACCAGAGAGGAGCGCTCAAAGAGTCCCCTTCCAGCCCCGCACACGCTTCGGATCCAGCCCGGGTTTGGGGAGATTTCAGGACGCGGACAGCGCCCTGGCTGCCCGCGGGTGGGGACTGGGTCGGGCTCCGGAAGACCCCAAGGCCGGCCTCACTTCCTTCAGAGTCTGCGAGCCCCGGGCGGCAGGTGCAAGCGACGGGACCCGAAGGTCCTCACGTGCCCCCCTGCAGGCGGGTGGTGAGCGCCCGGGGGTGGCGGCCCGTAGCGCCCAGGACGGCAGAGCGCGGACCGGGCGCTCCGGGATCGGCTGCAACAGGTGGGGCCGGGTGACAGCTAACGGGCGGTCGCCTTTTCCAGCCCCTTCCTCTTCGCCTGCTCTCCCTCCTGCCCCGCTCCATCTCGTCCCTCCTCTTCGCCCTCCGCCTCGCAGGTCATGGAAGCGCCCGGCAGCAGATTGGAGCCGCCACCGCTCCCCGAGTACAGCTGCAGCTACGTGGTGTCGCGGCCGGTCTACAGCGAGCTCGCCTTCCAGCAGCAGTACGAGCGGCGCCTGCAGGAGCGCAAGACGCTGCGGGAGAGTCTGGCCAAGGGCTGCAGGTAGCGGCCGCGGCGGGCCGGGCGTGTGGGCGCGCGCACCGGGCGTGGGATGTCGCGCAGCCCTGCCGGGTTGCCCCGGCTTCTACCGTCCGCATTGCTGTCCTTCCTGGTCGCAGGGTGGCTCCATCATTCTCGGCCCGAATGGACCCTAGTCCCGGAAACTCCTCTCTGGGGAGAGTGTGTTCCGAGAGCTCCATCTCTCTCTCTCTCTCTCTCTCTCTCTCTCTCTCTCTCTCTCTCTCTC